CAGCTTGTGACTGTCTTCTGGGCTCTTTGGTCATGCCGTACAGCATGGTGCGATCTGTTGAAGGCTGCTGGTATCTGGGAGATTTTGTGTGTAAAGTGCATTCTAGTTTGGACATGACTTTCAGCATCTCTTCTAAAATACATCTCGGTTTAATATCTGTCGACAGGTACTGGGCCATTTGTGACCCTCTGAGGTACAAAATGAGGGTCACAAACAACATTGTGACTGTATTTACTACCTTCACGTGGCTTTTTTCATTTCTGTACAGCTTTTCTATTGTGTTTTCAGGGATAAACAAAATTGGCTTGGAGTCGTTCATCATGCAAGTTTACTGTGTGGGAAGTTGTGTTTTGTTTTTTAACAAACAATGGGGTCTTATTTGTTCACTTCTCACATTCTTTCTTCCCGGGACGATCATGAGCTCTCTGTATATGAATATCTTCTATGTTGCACGCAAACACGCAAAGGTTATGTCTGAAAGAGTGACTGGAGGGTTGAAGAGCCAAGGCTCTGCTCAAAGAGAAGGAAAAGCAGCTAAAACTCTGGCCATTGTCATGGGTGTTTTTTATCTCTGCTGGCTGCCTTTTTTTACCGCCACTGCTGTTGATCCTTTCCTCAATTTCGTGACTCCTGGTGATGTTTTTGATGCTTTGGTTTGGTTTGGATACTTTAACTCCACTTGTAATCCATTGATCTATGGTTTCTTCTATCCTCGCTTTCAGAAGGCCTTAACCGTAAACCACTCTGCAACCCTGTTTCATAAACCTGGATGAATGACTTAACAGTGAGAGTTGCTCACCTTTGAGAATTACACTGTCATTAAAAGTGAGAAATTATCATAAGTCCCCTGGGTACTGTTGTTGGCATAACACAAGCATTGCATCATAACTGGTGTGTGTATGTGTACAGTACGATTGAGTGGCATTTATGGAAGATCAAATGTGATCAATTGCTGCTAAATATTAAATTACAATTGGATATCTAATTGTACTCTATATATACAGTAGTACTGTATGGGGCACTTGATAGGTCACAACAGTGACATCAGAGACATGAGACTTAGCTTAAAACTGTTAAACAGCATTTTAAAAAGCCCTTTTCGAATTATTATCATTGTAATTTTCATGACACAAGTTAAGTTGAAAGGTTACACTGTCATTTTTTTTGCTATATTTATTGCTTTTATATTTACATAACAAAATTCAACAACACTAACATGCTATGTTAACACAAACTTATAACAAACACATAATACAATTCACAAACAAATAATCAACCAGAAAAAGTAAATAAATAAAAATATGTGTATATATGTCACATGTTCAGTTTGTTTTGTATATATATATATATATATATATATATATATATATACACACACACAGTATACATATACACATACCAATTTCACAGTTCTATTTTATGCATGTATACACACACAAACATATACAAAATAAAATAAAGTTTAAGGCCTCCTAGTACAAGACAACTTCAACATTTCTTTTATTATAGGTCTTAAAATGTCCCGTCAAATATATCTCCATTATTTTCTCCTCCAAGAAAATCATAAAGGGTTTCCAAGCATCCTCAAAAGCTTTATATCTGCCCTTAATAATATATGTTATTTTCTCCAGTGACATTGTTGCCAACTCCTTTAACCATCTCCCTATACTTGGTGCCTCTACCTTTTTCCAGTGAAGAGCTATGAGATGTTTAGCTTGTAGAGTACACATATAAATAAGAATATGTTCTCTTCTTCTCAATTAGGATATAAATTTAATATATATAAAAAATTTGGTTCAAGGGGAATAGTAACATTAATTATTTTACTTATCAAATTTTGCACTCCCTTCCAGAATTTCAAGATCTCTTCACACTCCCATACACAATGAAAGAATATTTACACTTTTACTGACTGATTTATATATACATTCATATAAATTGTAGCCTAAATCTAAAGTTCATCCCAGTATTATTTGTCATTTACCCATATATCATTATTGTGCATATGCAACATGCACATAATGCCTTATTTTGAAATGTTATTATGAATATCAGTATTTATAGTTAAGATAAATCATGGTGCACAAAGACACCATTAGTCCCTTAAAGGGTTAGTTCACCCAAAAATGAAAATTAGCCCATAAATTACTCATCCTCAAGTCATCCTAGGTGTATATGACTTTCTTCTTTCAGACGAATACAGTCGGAGTTATATAAAAAATTGTCTTTGATATTTCAAGCTGTTTAATGCCACTCAGCGGGTTTTGCATGCATCAGTCCAAAAGAAGTTAAATAAAAAGCGACCATCCATAAAAAAAGTGTCTCACACGGCTCCAGGGGGTGAACAAAGGCCTCTTGTAGCGAATCTATGCGTTTTTGTAAGAAAAATATCCATATTCATAACGTAATAATCACTTTAATGTAGCTTGCGCTCACTGTTGTCAACGGAAGCAGCTCCGGGCGGATGACGTATGAAGTCAGCTTTGCGCATGCGCCGCTCAGAAGTGACGAACGCGGAAGCGCAGCGGAAGGATCAAAACAAAACAACGGTCACTTATTAGAAGTACAAAACGAGGATTTGTAAAGAAGAATGTCAGAGAATTTCGATATACACCAAGAGGAGACTGGGTTTCCTTTGCTAAAATAAGGAAACTTTGCTTCCTTTGCTCCTGTTAACAAACATTGGTTTTCATGAGGCTCACCGGCGCATGCGCAGCGCTGAACTCATATGTCATCAGCCTGGAGCTGCTTCCGTTTACAACAGTAAGCGCAAGCTACATTAAAGTGATTATTACATTTTGAATATGGATATTTTTCTTACAAAAACGCATCTATTCGCTACAGGAGGCCTTAGTTCACCCCCCGGAGTCGTGTGAGACACTTTTTTTTATATGGATGGGCGCTTTTTATTTCACTTCTTTTGGACTGATGCATGCAACACCCACTGAGTGGCATTAAACAGCTTGAAAGATCAAAGACAATTTTTAATATAACTCCAACTGGATTCATCTGAAAGAAGAAAGTCATATACACCTAGGATGACTTGAGGGTAAGTAATTTATGGGCTAATTTTCATTTTTGAGTGAACTAACCCTTTAACAGGCATTTCATAAACTGGAAAATTTAAGTATCTTAATTAAACTTGGAAAAAAAAAATATATATTTTTATGGACAACTTCTAGTTTTGTTGCAAGTGATGTAATGAATTTGAGGCTCGAGCGGGATTCGAACTTGTGTCTCCCGTGTTTAATATTTTAAACAACACACAGCTTATACATGCTTTGATGAGGTCAGTTAACATTGGAACATATCTGTTATGATATGTTCAAATAACCGAATTTAAAATAGAGTAGCGTACTGAATGAAATAACGCTTGAAGCACTTTTTCCAACGTGTCTGTGACTGGGTATCACCATTATGTAGTTCTACAGAATTAAATTAGAAAAGGAGAAAAAGATTAAAAGTGTACCAGCATACATCATATTAACATTAAGAAAGGATTACAATGTGTTTCTAAAGGTTAATATGCAAATTCACAGTCCAGTTCAAAAACATGAATAATACAAATCCTACTGAATTCAAACCAGCCATAATCAGGCCAAATTTGTGTTGTGCTCACACAGTATTAACTAGACTTTCATAAGTACTGGAGCACAGGCCCCTCATCATAAAGTGTCCTTATATTTTAATAGTAGTATGGATATCGGGACATAATTGTAACGCAACACTTCCAATTAAAGAATTGCACTGCAAAAACAGAAACGAACCGCAAATACTCACAACACAAACAAATAAAGAAACACGCTGCAAAAACAGAAACGCGCTGCAAATGCTCACAACATAACCAACAAAAGAAATGCGATGCAAAAACAGAAACGCGCTGCAAATACTCACAACACAAACAAATAAAGAAACGCGCTGCAAAAACAGAAACGTGCTGCAAATACTCACAACACAAACAAAGAAATGCGCTGCAAATGCTCACAACACAATCAAATAAAGAAACGTGCTGCAAAAACAGAAATGTGCTGCAATTAGGGCGTTGAGCTCTCTGGCCACCATATAATTGTCTCCTTGCAGTAGAGAATCGTTCACAATCTACACGCACATTGGCTTCGTCGCTGACAAACGATGGAGGTCATGTGCAAGTTTTCTTACAACGAACTGTTGGTAAATATCACCTCATCCAACACTCTTTTTGTTTTTTGTCTTATAAAGTTACTCGTGGAAAAAACGCTGCAAATGATTCAGTGTGTGAGTGAACTCTCTGAAAGAATCAAATTGAATCACAAATAAATTCAAATCTTTTTGCAATCCGTTGGCCGATTAGATCAAAAGAGTGATTTGTTTGCGAATCTGGCATCATTAGTTTAAACAGCTGATAGCAACATGAAAGCTGAAATATTATAAAGAAAAACGACTCTCAGGTCGATATGCGCCATCATCAGTCAAGGATGTATCAGTATTTATCATGACGTATTTATCTATTTACTTTTTCTGGTTGATTATTTGTTTGTGAATGTATTTAAGTGTTTGTTATGAGTTCATATTTTACTCGGTCACAGCAGTATTTAACTGCACTCGTTCCCCAGTAAAAAGCATAGCAAGGCTTCTGATATTAACCTTATGAATAAATTGCAAATGAAAAAATTAAACTGAATGAATGAATGATTGTTTTTTTTTTTTCACCACCTGGGGTCACTCAGTGTATCACAGTTACCACAGTTACTGCACCATTTTTTGCATATTCAAATATGTTTATGGCGAGTAAGGGCGTTACCCGTTTTGGACTCTTGAGTACATATATAACCCAAACTAGGCTTCTGACTCCATATATGTAGTTTCTTATGTGCATGTACTGTATATATGATCATTTTCTTTGTATTTTGCTCTCTCTGACTGTGGTTGATTCCCTTCAGACTTATCTGTGAGATTTTATTTTTTACATTTACAAAGGAAATATTGTGTTTTGATCTTGCATATCAGATTATATCTTAGTAATGACTTCAAATGAAACTGACATTTACCCTGAGAATGTGTTTTTCTGCTATCCACTCCTGCCTGACTCCTGTCCCAGAGCTCACCGGCTCCCTGCACTTAAAGTGGCGATGTATGTTTTAATGGTGCTGATGATTCTCACAACAGTTTTTGGGAACCTGCTGATCATCATCTCCATCTCTCACTTCAAACAGCTTCAGTCTCCAACTCATCTGATCGTTCGCTCTTTGGCTGCCAGCGACTGTCTCCTGGGCTCTTTGGTCATGCCGTACAGCATGGTGCGATCTGTTGAAGGCTGCTGGTATCTGGGAGATTTTGTGTGTAAAGTGCATTCTAGTTTGGACATGACTTTCAGCATCTCTTCTTTAATACATCTCAGTTTAATATCTATCGACAGGTACTGGGCCATTTGTGACCCTCTGAGGTACAAAATGAGGGTCACAAACAACATTGTGACTGTATTTACTACCTTCACGTGGCTTTTTTCATTTCTGTACAGCTTTTCTATTGTGTTTTCAGGGATAAACAAAATTGGCTTGGAGTCGTTCATCATGCAAGTTTACTGTGTGGGAAGTTGTGTTTTGTTTTTTAACAAACAATGGGGTCTTATTTGTTCACTTCTCACATTCTTTCTTCCCGGGACGATCATGAGCTCTCTGTATATGAATATCTTCTATGTTGCACGCAAACACGCAAAGGTTATGTCTGAAAGAGTGACTGGAGGGTTGAAGAGCCAAGGCTCTGCTCAAAGAGAAGGAAAAGCAGCTAAAACTCTGGCCATTGTCATGGGTGTTTTTTATCTCTGCTGGCTGCCTTTTTTTACCGCCACTGCTGTTGATCCTTTTCTCAATTTCGTGACTCCTGGTGATGTTTTTGATGCTTTGGTTTGGTTTGGATACTTTAACTCCACTTGTAATCCATTGATCTATGGTTTCTTCTATCCTCGCTTTCAGAAGGCCTTTAAGATTCTCATATCCACTTATATATGTGGCTGCAATGACTCAAGCACCTTGATACTTGAATGAATTTAAATGTATTAAAAATAAGCATGTTAATGCTAATGTTAGAAATTATTTGGCCTGGCATGCATTTCTCTAAAGGTTTCCACAAACAGACTAACCATCTGGATTATTGAAATATTAACAAAACTAAAATATTGATATTTGGGTGTAAAAATAAAATGCTTTTTTACTGCAAATACTGGTGTTTATGTGACATGTAAAAGTTATTTTAGCTCTTAGTTAATGTCATTGTTTTTTAAAATGATTTAACATTAAAGTTATTTAATGTTATTTATTTAATGTTGTGTTTACATAACTAAGTATAAGACATGTTTTTACTCAACTATTAATATAAAAAAGTTATCGAAACATTCTGCCTTTTCAGAATTCTGTCCATAATCAGTCACCAGTCACAATCCCCGCTCTTATCCAGATAAAACTATATTATTTAGACTAAAATGCATGTTCGAGCTGTCCTAACTAAAAGCAATTTGCACTGACATATATTAAAATATGTCAGTGCCATTGTTTTGTCTCAAGATGCACACAAGTAATAATTTTCAGCCCTGCAATCAACCTTGAGTGCAGGTTTGCGTATGTCACATTTATGAAAGTTATTTAAATGTCCTAATTTAATTAAGGCCTTCTCCTAGCTTAATCTGAACCCCGTCTGCAAAACCAGGCCCTATACGCTTTTATTTTGTATTATTTAGTGTGCATTTGTCTCCATCTTGTGGACAATATTTGGACAGGGGACATTTTTTGACTAAGAATTTATGGGCTAATTTTCATTTTTGAGGGAACTAATCCTTTAACAGGCATTTAATAAACTGGAAAATTGAATAATCTTAATTAAACTTGGAAAAACATTTTCTATTTTTATGGACAACTTCTAGTTTTGTTGCAAGTGATGTAATGAATTTGAGGCTCGAGCGGGATTCAAACTTGTGTCTCCCGTGTTTAATATTTTAAACAACACACAGCTTATACATGCTTTGATGAATTCAGTTAACATTGGAACATATCTGTTATGATATGTTAAAATAACCAAATTTAAAGTAGAGTAGCGTACTGAATGAAATAACGCTTGAAGCACTTTTTCCAACGTGTCTGTGACTGGGTATCACCAGTATTACGACCAACGAAAATTATGTAGTTCTACATAATTAAATTAGAAAAGGAGAAAAAGATTAAAAGTGTACCAGCGTGCATCATATTAACATTAAGAAAGGATTACAATGTGTTTCTAAAGTTTAATATGCAAATTCACAGTCCAGTTCAAAAACATGAATAATACAAATCCTACTGAATTCAAACCAGCCATAATCAGCCCAAATTTGTGTTGTGCTCACACAGTATTAACTAGGCTTTCATAAGTACTGGAGCACAGGCCCCTCATCATTAAGTGTCCTTATATTTTAATAGTAGTATGGATATCGGGACATAATTGTATGGTGGCCGAGAGAGCTCAACGCGCTGCAAATGAAAAAAAAAACATGCAAGTAGAAAAAACACCTGCAAATTAAGAAAACATCTCCATCAATTTGACAACACATGCGCTGCAAATGTTCACAACACTTACAAATAAAGAAATGCATTGCAAAAACAGAAACGCACTGCAAATACTCACAACACAAACAAATAAAGAAACGCGCTGCAAATGCTCACAACATAACCAACTAAAGAAACGCGCTGCAAATACTCACAACACAACCAAATAAAGAAACGTGCTGCAAATACTCACAACACAAAGAAACGCGCTGCAAACGCTCACAACACAATCAAATAAAGAAGCGCGCTGCAAAAACAGAAATGTGCTGCAAATACAACACAACCAAATAAAGAAACGTGCTGCAAATACTCACAACACAATCAAATAAAGAAGCGCGCAGCAAAAACAGAAATGCGCTGCAAATACTCACAACACAACCAAATAAAGAAACGTGCTGCAAATACTCACAACACAAAATGCTCACGACACAACCAAATAAAAAAATTAAGTTTGTGTGTGAGTATTTGCGGCACGTTTCTGTTTTTGCAGCGCGCTTCTTTATTTGTTTGTGTTGTGAGTTTGCAGCACGTTTCTTTGTGTTGAGCATTTGCAGTGTGTTTTTGTATTTGATTGTGTTGCGAGTATTTGCAGCACATGTGCTGTCAAACTGATCTGCAAATACTCACAACACAAACAAATAAAGAAACACGCTGCAAAAACAGAAACGCACCATAAATGCTCACGACACAACCAAATAAAAAAATTAAGTTTGTGTGTGAGTATTTGCGGCACGTTTCTGTTTTTGCAGCGCGCTTCTTTATTTGTTTGTGTTGTGAGTTTGCAGCACGTTTCTTTGTGTTGAGCATTTGCAGTGTGTTTTTGTATTTGATTGTGTTGCGAGTATTTGCAGCACATGTGCTGTCAAACTGATGAAAATGTTTTCTTAATTTGCTGGTGCTTTTTCTATTTGCATGTGTTTTCTGAAGTTGCAGGGCGTTGAGCTCTCTGGCCACCGTATAATTGTCTCCTTGCAGTAGAGAATCGTTCACAATCTACACGCACATTGGCTTCGTCGCTGACAAACGGTGGAGGTCATGTGCAAGTTTTCTTACAACGGACTGTTGGTAAATATCACCTCATCCAACACTCTTTTTGTTTTCTGTCTTATAACATTTACTCAAGTTACTCGTGGAAAAAACGCTGCAAATGATTCAGTGTGTGAGAGAACTCAACGAAAGAATCAAACTAAATCACGAATAAATTGAAATCTTTTTGCAATCCGTTGGCCGATTAGATCAAAAGAGTGATTTGTTTGCGAATCTGGCATCGTTAGTTTAAACAGCTGATAACAACATGAAAGCTGAAATATTATAAAGTAAAACAACTCTCAGGTCGATGTCAGACAAGGATTTATCAGTATGTTAATATTTTACTCGGTCACAGCAGTATTAACTGCACTCGTTCCCCAGTAAAAAGTATAGCAATGCTTCTGATATTAACCTTATGAATAAATTGGAATAATCACCACCTGGGGTCACTCAGTGTATCACAGTTTCCACAGTTACTGCACCATTTTTTGCATATTCAAATATGTTTATGGTGAGTAAGGGCGTTACCCGTTTTGGACTCTTGAGTACATATATAACCCAAACTAGGCTTCTGACTCCATATATGTAGTTTCTTATGTGCATGTACTGTATATATGATCATTTTCTTTGTATTTTGCTCTCTCTGACTGTGGTTGATTCCCTTCAGACTTATCTGTGAGATTTTATTTTTTACATTTACAAAGGAAATATTGTGTTTTGATCTTGCATATCAGATTATATCTTAGTAATGACTTCAAATGAAACTGACATTTACCCTGAGAATGTGTTTTTCTGCTATCCACTCCTGCCTGACTCCTGTCCCAGAGCTCACCGCCTCCCTGCACTTAAAGTGGCGATGTATGTTTTAATGGTGCTGATGATTCTCACAACAGTTTTTGGGAACCTGCTGATCATCATCTCCATCTCTCACTTCAAACAGCTTCAGTCGCCAACTCATCTGATCGTTTGCTCTTTGACAGCCAGCGACTGTCTCCTGGGCTCTTTGGTCATGCCGTACAGCATGGTGCGATCTGTTGAAGGCTGCTGGTATCTGGGAGATTTTGTGTGTAAAGTGCATTCTAGTTTGGACATGACTTTCAGCATCTCTTCTTTAATACATCTCAGTTTAATATCTATCGACAGGTACTGGGCCATTTGTGACCCTCTGAGGTACAAAATGAGGGTCACAAACAACATTGTGACTGTATTTACTACCTTCACGTGGCTTTTTTCATTTCTGTACAGCTTTTCTATTGTGTTTTCAGGGATAAACAAAATTGGCTTGGAGTCGTTCATCATGCAAGTTTACTGTGTGGGAAGTTGTGTTTTGTTTTTTAACAAACAATGGGGTCTTATTTGTTCACTTCTCACATTCTTTCTTCCCGGGACGATCATGAGCTCTCTGTATATGAATATCTTCTATGTTGCACGCAAACACGCAAAGGTTATGTCTGAAAGAGTGACTGGAGGGTTGAAGAGCCAAGGCTCTGCTCAAAGAGAAGGAAAAGCAGCTAAAACTCTGGCCATTGTCATGGGTGTTTTTTATCTCTGCTGGCTGCCTTTTTTTACCGCCACTGCTGTTGATCCTTTCCTCAATTTCGTGACTCCTGGTGATGTTTTTGATGCTTTGGTTTGGTTTGGATACTTCAACTCCACTTGTAATCCATTGATCTATGGTTTCTTCTATCCTCGCTTTCAGAAGGCCTTTAAGATTCTCATATCCACTTATATATGTGGCTGCAATGACTCAAGCACCTTGATACTTGAATGAATTTAAATGTATTAAAAATAAGCATGTTAATGCTAATGTTAGAAATTATTTGGCCTGGCATGCATTTCTCTGAAGGTCTCCACAAACAGACTAACCATCTGGATTATTTAAATATTGACAAAACTAAAATATTGATATTTGGGTGTAAAAATAAAATGCTTTTTTTTTTACTGCAAATACTGGTGTTTATGTGACATGTAAAAGTTATTTTAGCTATTAGTTAATATAGGTCATTGTTTTTTAAAATGATTTAACATTAAAGTTATTTAATGCTTAATGTTGTTTACATAACTAAGTATAAGAAATGTTTTTACTCAACTATTAATATAAAAAAGTTATCGAAACATTCTGCCTTTTCAGAATTCTGTCCATAATCAGTCACCAGTCACAATCAGTCACAATGTCCTCTCTTATCCAGATAAAACTATTATTTAGACTAAACTGCATGTTCGAGCTGTCCTAACTAAAAGCAATTTGCACTGACATATTTTAATATGACATTGTTTTGTCTCAAGATGCACACCAGTAATAATTTTCAGCCCTGCAATCAACCTTGAGTACAGGTTTGCGTATGGCACATCTATGAAAGCTATTTAAATGTCCTAATTTAACTAAGGCCTTTACTTGACTTAATCTGATCCATGTCAAAAACCAGGCCCTATATGCTTTTATT